TTTTGGCCTCCGTCCAGCTCGAGGGGTCCTGCCATCATCCACCTGTGACATCATGCTGTACTAACTCATTCTTGTTTCGTGGCCACTGGAACCACCATTTTTCGTACGCGCGGCCGTTCTCCGACGCCGGAGGTGGTGGCGCGCCCGCGTCCCCCAGTCATTGCCATGGCCCTTTGGCGGTGCGTGGAAACGGCGAGTGAGTAACTCCCTCCAACTGATTGTTGGACGCTGACCAGGACCTCCCATTGTAGAGGAGCATGGTCTTGGGGACAAGCTGTTCCAATCGGTTCCACTTCCATGATGGTTTCTATTTCAAGTGATCATGCTGTGGTTGCTTGAGTGGGCATGGGTTTGGATCCAGGTGTCATTTTGCAAACTCTTCTCTGGGGTTCTGCGAAAAAACCCGGTTGCAACTTGGGAGAACCGTAGGCAACGTGCGTCTCAGTTGAGTTTGACCGGTGGCAAACTTGACAAGCAACTCCTAAGGATCCGGAACCTCAATCAAGCACAAGGATTTGCCCGGCTTCTGGGGGTACATTCATCCCCTGTGATGAAGAGCCGGACACCCTTCGTTGAGGTGTCCAAGACTTCGTTGAAGTCCTTGCATAGACATGTTGCATGTCCAAACATATTCCCTAGGGCTCCAAGTACCTCCTCAGAAGGTATGACTGGACCCTCGAAACCGACCCCAGTCCCACCTTCGAAACGAAGGTACGACTGGAGCCCTATAGGGATTCTGTTGTCCACTTGTTTTTCTGATTTCCATGATCCTGTTCCTCCAGACCTACTGGGCACCGCAGTTTCCCAGAAGATCCCCTGACTGGTCGTGTTGGCGCACGAAGATATACAGCATGTTGATGGGTGCGCTTCAGAAAGAGCACTGATATGGACCACGGTCTACGGCATAAGTTTGGTGATTTTAGCTGAGTAAGGCACAAGGTGACCACCTTCGGCAGTTGTGTTTTTGGGCAGTGCGGTCACAGCTATCACAGTGTCACCATGGCCAGACACATGTGAGCATCGTGACAATCCTGAAGATAATGATGATCACAACCCAGGCGTTGCTCATCTAACCTGGTGACTCTTGCTTCACCATGTTTGGACCAGGATAGTTAATGTATGTGCACACCCTCACACCCTCCTTAAAACTGAAATAGAGCTGACGGAACACAGAGGAATCATGAAAAGAGTTATAACCTTACCCCACGGGTACAAACAAAATTAAGCCAACTACAAAATAAGGCATTGTTTGTTGAATGTATCAGTTGTGAAAAAAGGGGGGTGTCTTTGTTCAAGGACCGCCAGGACCGCAAACACGGCCCGGAGGGATGAACCAAAAGGGTGGCGAAAGACCAGCAACTTAACATGATGTTTGATGTTTTTAGCCCTAGGGCTCCAAGTACCAGAAAGTATGACTGGACCCTCCTGGCACCCACCTCAGTCACACCCAAACACCTTCTCGGAAGGTACTTGGAGCCCTATAGGGTAGTATACCCGCCCCATGTCAGGAGAATGGGTCGGCGAATTTGGTTGAGAGCGGACTCAGCGGACTAGTGCTCAGCCATCGGGGATGATGATCGGTTGCGCTAAATCAGAAGACTTCAGCCGGCAGAGAAATTGATGGCGTGTCGCTAGATCAGTGTGATCCTAGATGCCCTTGAACAGCAAAGAATACAACGTCTATAGTACAACCCAGACACGACTAATGGGACTGTCATATATGCCGCCCCGTTGAACCCTCTGGCACCACCCCCTTTTCTCGGCAGTCCGGACTGGCAGTCCCATGGAGTGTCTAGTACAAGACACCACTAGGACATAGGACCGGACAATCGACGAACACGTGAGACGAAAGACCGTCCCACTTTGGCCATGCGAGGCTTGGACTTCCCCATGTTCCGACCAGATGGCTGATCCACGTAGATGTGATAAGACCCGACAAAGAAGAAAACACCTTTGTTCCTCCTGAAGTATTTAGTAACGTATAATAGAGCTCAATCTAACCTTCAACTGCCAGTTGAACTTGCCGGTTGAGGAATCAGATGGTCAAACTGTCGAACCCAAGAGGCAGAAAAAGATCCCTTCAAACCGCCTGCCTCGACTGATCAGTTCAGCAGCCATAGGAATTGAGCTTTTCCCCTCCTAGCAGGGCACACCCGAATGAGGTGAACCACCTTGCAATGGAACACCAATTTCCGTGGGGTGAGTGTTCCAACCGTCCGCGGACTACGTCACGCTGATGCCCCGCAGCGGTTTGGCTGTCGGGTCTGAGGTCACAGTCATTCTCAACACAATCCGCAGATCGGCAGCTTCAGCATCGTTCGGAGTTCCCAGGAAGGGACGGACCGGAACGGACGTTCTTTTGTTGAGACGATTCGGATCGCCCAGTTCCGGACGTCTTGGATCAGGTTGAGACGGTCGATGTTTTGGAGCAGGTCTTGGACAGGTCTCGTCGTGTCTGTTTTATTGCGAGGATGGGTCGATCTTCCAGATCTTCGCAAGGCATGTTGTTTTCCAGGGGTACAGCTTGGACTTTCTGAGCATGGGTGTCCTGGCTGGAGATCAAGGAGTGTAGGGCGTAGGGTAGTCCAGCTTGGACACCCAGACAGGATAAGTCTCGGCATAGTTCTTTTTTCAAATAGTGGAATCCTTCTTACCTATCGCACACCACCTGCAGTTGTCACGCAATTCGCTGACTGAAGCGACCCGTAGTCCATATGACCATGTCATGTCCATATGGGGAACACCCATGGCACAGCTTAATTAAACCTCTTCAGATTGATCAGTAGGGCCATCCGATTCTCATCTCACCTGCTGTTTACCCCACCAGGTGTAGCACCAAGCACCCAAGAAATGCAAGAATCAATCCCGGACACTCCATGTATGGCACATATTTATACATACACATTGACCCCTGATCAACCACCCCAACTGATTGGTCGGTAAATATGCCAGTGCCAGGTCGTGTGTGATTGTCATTCTGACCTGTCATCCTTGACCTGTTCTGCTGCATCTCTGCTGCATGATCTGCTGCATCTCTGCTGTCGCGACCTACAGTCACACTCTCACCGCACTCTCTCCGCGTCGAGGTGCGTGCGAAGATGGAGGTGGAGCCTTTGGCCTTTGCCAGGCGCTGAAAACGCTTTAGCGGAGGACCATGCGGTAGGAGGGTGAACGGGACGTCCCGTTCCGTTGATCGCGTTGATCGTATTCGTTGGAAACTCCGGATCATCGCGGATTCTCTGTTTCTGTTGAGATAGTGGTTGAGATGGAGCTAAGAGAGAAGAACATGAAGCTACTAATTAGGAAGCTGCAGTTTTCATAAGTGTGGTGACCATCCGAGACGTAAATCTGTTGGCTCCTTCGGTGGAACGCGCGCGCGCGCGCGGAGAAACGTGGGGCAGCGCTTGGGTTCCCCTGGCCCATCTCGCGAACAAAGGGGTCAAAGATAGGGTTTGGGTCTGTCCTATTACATCCTATGACCTGTAAGAGTCGGTAAACAAGAAGATATAAGAAGATGTTAATAGGCCTTTAACTAACCATCATCATCCACTGGGCCCTAGTAATGGGATAGACTCAAGATAGAGTCCTTTTCCAGCTATTGCGAGCCAGAGGGTGTCCGTGTCGGTATGGTGGTGTGACCCAAGCCAGACACTGACAACCCTAGGGCTCCTGGCCTACCTCCTGAGAAGGTGGTTAGGGTGGGTGCCAGGGGGGTGTAACCACCTTCTGAGGATACTGCCAGGAGCCGCCTAAGGCAAGGTCCAAGTTGATGCTGGGAGTGCTTCGATGCGATCGATGCGAAATGCGACCGCCTTTGGGGAATTCCATGTCGAGCAGCTGGTTCCTTCAGTTCATCAGATATGTCGAACAGGATGCGAACAGGAATGAGCCTCTTCAGATATGGGAACTACTATGGGAAGCGATGCACCTTGTTACCAGCTTCGCCCTTGTTACCCGTACTGCCCCTTGTTACTAGTAGCGATGCACTTGTTTCGCCTTCAGTTCTTTGGCTCCGCTTGGCTCCGTCCGCCGCGAACTCGTGCGACCGCGGGTGCGCCGACCGCTCGGTGAGTCCGGTCGTTGGCGTTTGGGACCCGTCTGGGACTGCCAGTCACTGCCGAGAAAAAGCCAGGGGTGGTGGTGGTGAAAGGGGGGTCTGTCTGGGGCAGTCCGGACTGCCAGTCCCAGACGGGTCGTGCCTTTTTGGAGTGTTTCTGCCGATGTTCTCCTGAGTCTACACAAAAAGGGCCAGCAAACCAGACCCGAACATCGTGTTTTCCCTTTGGGGTTTGCTGGCCCAATGGGTAGACTCAGGAGCTCATGGGCCCATGGGTTTTCTCCGCCTCGGACCGTGGAAAAGACAGGTTGAGGCCTGGATCTCTCGGTCCTGCTAAGCTAGACAGCTAGGTCTCACCGGTGTTCGGAGGGTGCACCGGTGTTGGGTGGATCTCCCCCTATAAGTCACTTTGACCTCATTTTTACTGGAGATGGTCATACAAAACCCAGGAGGTCAAGTCGGCCAGGTTTGGACCGGGGTCGTACGTTCTCCTCAAAAAGGGTTTGGTCTCGCGCTGCTCCTCTCGCATCCACTGCACCGGCCCCCGACGCTTTTTCCAACGCCACTCTCGGCGTGAGCTGCGGCCGGCGCGAGCTGCGAGTTGTTGGCCGGGCATAGGTCATAGATGGTCATAGCCATAGCATCATAGATGGCATGACAAAACCATGCAAAACAGCATGGTCATTTGTGAATAGTCGTATATATGTTTAAAATCATTTAAAATCTAACCCAACAGGCAAAACCCAATCATCCTCAGATCGATCCTGCAATATATTATATACCATCTCTTCCCCCAAGAATCCCTACACCTTCCGCTCTCCCTCCCACCCAACGACCTCCCCCCTTTCTTTTCAGTGTCACGTCGCAGTCTCACGTGGGCGCGTTTCGCCTCTCACCAGCTCCTGCGGGGGGCGTCAAACCGTGGACCCCTGGCGCGCTGCCCATGGCGTCGGTGGCCTGGGCGGAGGAGGTGGAAGACTTGAGCCCCGAGGCCCGCGATCGGCGCCTTGGCGCAGGTGGAGCGAACCCGTCGGGTGTCGAGCCGGCCGGGGAGCCGGTGAGGGTGGGTTTTTCGGTGCGCAGAAGCGACCGGAAGATCATGAGTAGATCGAAGTAGATGGTGAATTTGGTGTAGGCAAAGATGCCAGGTTTGAAGGCAGGGATGTTTGGGTGCTGGTGTTCTTCGTGGATCTTCGTGGTGGGTTTTGGTAAGGATGGAGGAGGACGCAAGGGGTTGGAAATGACACTGTTCTTGGCCCCTTTGTGGTATATCTACTTATTGCCACGTTGAGATCAATGTCAATGGATCACTAGAAAGTATGTCAGTTGGTTTGTCGTATTCAATGATATAGTTTGTTGATGTTTGTTGGTATGGCATGTTGGGAATATCCACCTTGCGTGTGAGCCAAAGTAGGAAGAAAAGTACTTGCACAATTGGTTTGGTACTCTAGTAATCCATATTATAACTTCAATTCTACTTCCACTGGGGGTTTTTGGAGTATCTCGTGATGCTCCGATCCTGTGACAAATCCATCTGGCATAGGTGGCAATGATACCATCTTTTTCCCATACACTCCATGTGACTGCCATATATGCCAATCAATTGACCCCTCTGGCACCACCCCTGGCCTGATCGGCAGTCCTATGGCAGTCCCAAACAGGTGTGTTTGGGTTTTGATCATCAAAATGAGAATCCGGACCGGACCACATGTGAACTACGTCTGGTTCGAGTCCACACCGGCCGTGGTCCGTGTAGGACCTGTGCACCTGGACCGATGATGTTCGGTTTGATGATCGGTGAAGTGGTGTTCCGCGGTGGGCCCTGGACTGGCCCAAGGTACATCTCGCAAGTCCAAGAGGAGATGGAGGAGACTATACAGATACAAGTCTGACCCAGGTCCAAAGCTGGTTCTGAAAACCTTCTTGAGTATCCGTTCGGTAGTGGTTTTTGTATCACCAACTCCAGTACAACGAGGTCAGTCCCTGACCAACTGACCTGTAGAGAAATGATCTAATTCATTCGCGGTAAGTTGAAACAGAAACACTGCAAGGATGAGCTTCAACAGCTTCAACCGACACTCAGACTCGACGGGTGGTGTGTTGTTCCAACCGAGCAGATGTTCCAACCTCCCCCAGCATTTTTGCGTCCGAACATGGTGAAGTGGTTCCTGTTCTGCGATCTGCAGCCAGACCAGGGGTCCTTACCTGTTTCAGGGAGACCAGCAGAAAATACGATGGTCAGTTTTATATAAAGACATGTTGCCATTAATCAGGGTTCAGGGTTTATGGTGTATATGTTGTGATACTATCTCATATGTTCACAGGAACTCACAGAAATGGTGTTGGAACTTTGGACCAGAAGACCACGTGTTCAGCGGATGTGCATGTGGACAAAGATGGGATCGTCATGTTTCTTTTCCATGGGACTGGAATATTGACCTACATTGACCCTTAAAACATCTAAAACTCACCCCAATCTAGACACCTGTTCCATATACGTTCGGAGTCCAAGACCATTTCAAAAAGGGTCGGACCAGGTGACCAGAAGAGGAAGTTCATGGAATTTCCTTCACTGGGGTGGTGGCAACATGTGGGAAAGTCGTACTTCTAGAGTATGAAAAATAAAGGTGTTCACATACAGAAACATATATGTGTTTGCTAGGAAAAATCGCCAGTGAAGCTACTGGGCAACCATAAGGCTTTAGCAAAGTGCAAAAAAAAAGTGCTAGGAAAAATGAGGTTTTTTGATGGTTTGGGGGGGGGCCTCTGGTATGTGAACACCTTGGGTTTCCTTCACATAGCAGCCCTCGTCAGGACGAAGATGATGGCCTTGATTGGTCTTGGCGCTATGTCTTTGGGCGAAAGAAACGAACAGTTGTGAGAAACGTTTGGTTCTTATTGAGAAACCTGGGTGTGCAATTGGTTGGATTGGTCGTTGTGCCATGGTATTTGCAGGGTGAAGTGATGCTGGATTTTAGAAGGTGTCTTAATTCCAGGTGTCTGCCCTGCCAAGAGTTATTCAAATACAAATTACCAGGGGCCCCACAAACCATCAAAATCCTGGATTTCCCTAGCAAAAAGCACGGTTTTTGTAGGTGAAAACCTTTGTTTTTCATGGTTTGGTTCAGGCCCCTGGTAGTAACCTGGTTTGGCCCGTCCGTGAGTATCAGGGTGAGTTGTGGCAGACGCTGGGGGCCTCCGGGTTACTGTCCCAGAGGCCTTGGGTCGAAGAGGCCTTTTCGGTCGGAGGCGACCTTAAGTCGGTGGTAAAAAACATGTGAGCCGACCGACTGGCCGTGCCCCTCATCCTGACCACTTTCGGGTCAGGTTGCCGCACTGGCCATGCATCCAAGCGAGCTCCATGGAGTCCACACCCAACCTCTTTGGAACTGCTTGAACCATGGTCTTAAGGGCGCCAGCCTGAACTCTTTCCTTGCTTCGATTGGTGGAAGACGTTTGGAGTTTGCACTGAACTTAGATGAGCCGCACCACCGAACTGAACTGTTCAAAAGCCGGTTCAGGTTGAAAGGTCTGCCGCTTCAACGGCACCCATTTCTGTCACCCTCTCTCTCTCTCTCTCTCTCTTTTGAATTGAAGATCAGGGATATGATCTCACCCTTGCTTCATGTTGTTGCCATCTTCTTGTCTTCTGGTCCCCATGTCTTGAAAGAAGCCAAGAGCCTCACAACGGATGACCAGGGATGTTCAGCTTCAATTGTGATTGCTTATTTTTCAGCCACCCTAGAATATCGGAGCCCCTTGTTCAGTTCAGTTCCCCCTCCACCTGTTTTTGGGGTCCAAGCTCCGGTGGCTGCCAGTCAACGCATGGTAGGTTGACATCCCTCATATATAGAAGAACTTGTTGATTTTGACAGGTCAACCAGGCCGCACCAGGCTCCTCGGCTTTTTTGATCCATAGCCAGGTGGCTTTATGTGTGCTTCTGCCTTGCTTGAATGGCTGCGCCAATGGCTTTGCTTGGGCCGCCGCTCGGCGACCGAACTGGATCACCGAACCGCTCGGCTATCCATGTAGCGCCATGTAAGGGGGATTGGGGGAATGTCCCCAAAGTTCCGCTATGCGCAATTCGTCTGAGGACTGAGGGAGTCGGAGTTTGTCTTCCTTTTAGGGTCACGGCTGTACCCAAACACACCTTTTTGGGACTAGCATATTTACATACATTGGGGTGGTTGACCTGGGGTCAATGTAGGCATATAATCATATATACCATACATGGAGTGTCTGGGGTATGTTGTTTGTCCCTGCCACAGCTTTCGGAACTCTTTTTTGGGAGGGGACATGGGTGGCTGTTCTACCATCCGGGCCTTCTGTATCACCTACATGTGAGAGGACACATGAAACGATCACACAAGTCATTAGTCACGAGCATGATGTTTGTGCTTGTGTGAAACACCAATCATCTACGCTATCCCACAAACGACGGGACTACTTACTTACATTCGGGTGGTTGGCCCGGGGTCAATGCACGCATGCTATCCGCACACACACACACACTTAGACTCGTAGCTCAAACGAATGAACATTAAGTTCAGTGATCTTCAGCGATGCAGTATCCCTTGACTTTCTAGTTACTGCAGAAACGACCTCAGCTGCCTGGTAATGGCCCTGTGCAAACCGCAAGGTGAATGGGTCGGAGAGACAGTATAGTTTACATCACTGAAAGCAGCACATGCTTAAAATTGGCAGGTACACAATGCGGCGTCCCTCATTGCTTCACCACGAGCTGACAGTGTCTTCGTTGGGTAGTGTCTGTCAGCCGTGCACTACTCCCCTGCTGAGTGCGTGCCAAAAAGTATATTCCCTTAGAGACGGAGTTGGACACAATTAGACTCAAATTTCCGGTGAGGGAACATCAATTTCAGTGTGTAATTCAGAAATGCGGAACCGCTTGACTGGCTAGCTAGTGCAGGAACGGAAAGGCGGTAAGTCAGGACACTTGTAGGTGTTGTGATTTCAGCTCATCAAGAAGCGACGCGGCGGCTGCACTAGACCGCTACTGAAGAGTGAAGTGAACAGCTTGGTCAACAGGTGAAAAAGCCGGTACACACCAGGACGATTCCCAGTGCTTCACCAGATCAATCGGCTCCTGGTCTTTCCTACTGAGAGGGAACGTGTAAAATGGATGCTGTTCGATGGCTTTTCTGAGCTTCAGTTTTGTTACCGTGAAAAGTTGCCACCACGGGCCAGTTGTAAAAGTCTCTGTTTTGTAAAGCTGGTATGTTTTGCATTGCAGCTTTAGCTTCACCTGCCCTTCCAGCCAGCGTTTTCCATTGGGCATGGCAGATCCCAACGAGCCCGGGATTGGCTTGTCCGAAAAGGTTGAGCGGTTGAAAGCGCAAAGGCGCAGCTTGGGTCAGCAAAAGCAGCAGGCTGAAACAGCGGGAAGCGGTTCTAAGTCGCGACTCCTGGGTCACGTGCCAGATGGATGGTCTGTCAATACATAGTTCCCTATTTGATGGTGGCGGAGCTGGGCGGAAGAAAGTCTTGTGAGGAAGGAGTCAATGGACACATTTTTGCTGAAGGGGTGATTCTGGCCCAGTGGTGGCTTCACAAGGCACATTGTAACGCTACACTACTTGGAAATAGAGAGATCTTGACATTGTGTAGCGTTACGGTCAACAGATTGCCTTGAGTTCAGGCGCCAGTCTTTAGAAAGACTCGCCCCCTGGACAAGTGGACATCCTTCACAGACCATGGACGCCATGGACGTGTACATCGATTGCGCTGAAGAAGATTGTTTCGAAGACCCTTTTGGGCATGGCTTTGAATGCTAGACTGCTGAAAACTCTGCACCTGCGCTCTGAGTTCGCTGGCCGGACCCATGCAGAAGTAACGCTAGAAAGCCGTGTTCAATGAGGATAGACCCTTTTTCAAAAACCCACAAATATTCAGGCAAGACTTTTACGAAAGCCAGCCTTCGTAGAAGGCGCCAGCTGAGTTGTGCTTGGCGAACGAAGTGAGTAGGTAAGGGGGTCTGGGGGGGTGGCCCGCAAAAGGTACACGTGAACTCGGCACATGCTGGGGGAGGAGGGTGCAGCGACGGAAGGTTTTTGAGGTTGGTTTGGAGGTGATTCTTTGTGATTTTTGAGAGGGTGGTGATGCAAGAAATGCAATTTGCATCATTTGCATCATCTGAATGGTACGGTGTCGTTGTGCAGAGGCCGATGCGTTATAGCTTCGTGCAGCTGTGAGTGAATAACATCTTTCAGAAGGAGAGCAATTATAGACGCTGTATGCATTTATACCATGGAAGTGTTGTACCATGCAACTGAATTGTAATTACCTGGGGTCTGTATAAATGCTATTGTGTTATGCTTCCGACATACCCAAGTTTAGAGCACTAATGAGACTGGAGAGGAAAAAGTGCAACATCATTGGAGCACTGGATCATAGGATGTTTGATCGCAAGCCCGTCTGTCTGTGTAACCTGGCATTTTGTGTAAAGAGACACAGAGATTGTGCAGCGGTAGCTCCCCAGGGCGCGGAGAATAGAGGTATAGCACAGAAGACAGCGGTGCAGAGGTATAGCGCAATAGCATTTAGACGGACCCTGGATAGCTACAGTTTAGAGGATATGGTTGGAGGCCTCGGGTGATGCCTGTACATGGCCAAGAGGCCGCGCCTAAAAAGATCTTGTCGCTGCAACAAGGTCGATGTTGGGTCCGCGCGCGCGAATGTTTACCAAGCTAAATGCAAGGTGGCCTGGGGCCAGGGGTTTGCTGGCCTAAAACACTATGTTCAGGCCACCTCAAAAATGAAGATATGTGAAGCGAGGGTCCTTGGGTGTATATCTGACAAGGCTTCAAGGCTTCCAGATTCGATCACCTGAGGAAGTGCATTCGTTTAAGTAGAAGGGTTTTCGTGCAAACTTCGAGGTGGCCTGGGACCAGGCGGCCCTCAAACACTATGTTCAGGCCACCTCAAAGCTGAGTTGCGCTTGGCGAACGAAGTGAGTAGGTTGGGCGTCTGAGGGGGTGGCCCGAGAAAGATATACGTAAACTCTGGGAGGTGATGCTTTGATGGAGCGGGTGGTGACGCAAGAATGCAGTTTTTGGCTTTTGCATCATCTGAATGTGGATGGGAATTATCTATGTGTGGCCAGAAAAAGACATTAAACAGAATGTTTTTTCAAACGAAATTCAAGGTGGCCTGGGGCCGGGGGTTTGCTGCCCTAAAACCATTGTTCAGGCCACCTCAAAAATGCAGAACAGATTCAATCAAGGATACCTGGATAAGGCCGCTCCTAAAAAGACCCGCTACAACAAGGTCGATGGGGGGGTGCGCGCGAATGTTTGTCAAGCTAAACGCAAGTCGCTGTTGAACGCTGTTGGGTCCGCGCGCGTGCATGTTTATGAAGCTAAATGCAAGGTGGCCTGGGACCAGGGCTCTGTTCAGGCCACCTCAATGTGAAGCGAGGATCCTTGGGTGTATATCTGACAAGGCGTCAAGGCTTCCAGATCGATCACCTGAGGAAGTGCATTCGTTTCAGTAGAGGGGTCTTCGAGCAACTTCGAGGTGGCCTGGGACCTGGGGTTTGCCGCCTTCAAACACTATGTTCAGGCCACCTCACAGCTGAGCTGTGCTTGGCGAACGAAATGAGTAGGTAGGGGCTCTGGGGGGGGTGGCCCGAGAAAGGTATACGTAAACTCTTGGTGATGTTTTAGTGATTTTGGAGCGGGTGGTGATGCAAGAATGCATTTTTTGCTTTTGCATGGTTTTAGCTCATCCCAAGGTTCAAGCATTTCCTCGGAACAACCATTTTAACACCGGTTTCTTTTTTCAGCTCCCTTGGCCTGGAAGACTGCCTTCGATACCTGAAAGGTACCTATCTGAACCCCTAACGCGAAGTTGTCGAGAAAGGGAAGCGCTGGCTTTCGTTTTGCAGCTTCCCAGGTTTTATCGTCAGACAGCATTCATGAATGGCCGTTCCTGGAGGCGGGCTTTCGAGCAGGATGGCATCACATCCCGAAACAATTTGATTATCATTCTGCGCGCGCACTGGAGCAATCCTGCTTGTGGTGCTGGCTGCGAGCTGCCTGTTTCCACGCCATCTGACGAAAGTTTGCGGCTGTTGCTTTGCAGACGAAATGTGCCATATGAGAAACTCATCCATCCGCCGCTGCCTCTGGAAAGCTGAGAAGCAGCATCTCTTGCAGTCTACTAAGTATTTGGCTTTGTGACCTACACTCACAAGGCTTGTTTTGTGACCTTGCTTCCGAATTCGATCCGTCTACCGTATTCGGCCGATCGGAGTACACACCCGTGATCGCCTGTGTTTTTTTTGACAGGTTCGACGGTTCTTAATGATGCGAATCGACAACATTCACAAACTCATGGAAGTGGCCCACATGAACATCCATCGAAAACACATGTTTCCTTGTTTGTGAGCCAGTGACTCATGTGGATCTCTGAATCGAATCCACCACTTCACCAGACCTCAAAGCTCGGCCGCAGCCACTCCTTCGCCGCAGTTCGGCTGAGGCTGTGGGTCTCTACTTCCGCAGCATGCAGTGGCCCCTGTGGCACTGCGGCCTCGCTGGCGCATCGGGCTTCGTGCTGCGGTGGCTGTGCCAACAGCTGCAGCTGTGGCCTGGTGAGAAGATCTGGCAGGGCATGTCTCCTCGTGAGATCGGGCAGAACTGATCTGGACAGATCGGTGGACCCCACAACGGTCGACGCCAGGCCTCACATGCCCTGCCTTCCCTTAAGGGCTTCGGGTCCCGACAGGACGACCTCTTAAACTCAGAGAGGGCGACCCCATGTCGGTGGATGTTGGAGTTGCTTTGGCATTTCCCAAGAGATTTCCATATAGTGTAAGGGCATGTAAAGGCGGGGTCTTCAAACGTGAGCGAGGTCGTCTATACTAGTCATGACGTTTTGAATCGTTTTGACAGTGGATGCTGCATGAATGCCCGAAGTGTTCGGTCCTTTCAACATCTTTGGTCCGATGCATCTTCCGGTCCGATGGATGTCGGTCGTCGCGTCTACGTCAACGTCGTCGCGTCGGTGTTCATCACTTCGATCTTCCCTCCCGATGGAGCTGAACATCACCGATTCAGGGCCGTCAGGGTCCACCCAAGAGAGGTTAAGTGACCTGAACTAGGACCCTACTGGGTTACCTATGGGATAGTCTATAGGGTCCTTCAACCTCTGTTGGAGAAGGCCACCTTCATTTCGTCCCCTGAACAGCCTCCGGACCCGAACGGGAAGGGAACCCCCCTTGTTCGGCTGGAAACACTTCCCCCCCCCTGAACAGGGCGGTGGATCACGTGTTAGGTCATGTCGTGTCCGGCGGTGCGTTTCCACTCCTTTGGGGGGCTCCCACGTGTTCCGGTTCACCACGGTGTCCGACCCAGGAGCACCACTCCTGCTTTCCTCCGAACGTCGAACGTCGCTGTCCGTGTCGCGATCTGTCGCGAACGAGCCGCACGAGCCGAACGGTGGAACGGTGGCACAGTCACGAAAACGCCCCAGGCGAGTGGGCCTTTGGGTCACTTTGCCCTTGTCTATGTGCCACCTCTCCGCAGCGATCTTGGCCATCGTCTACTCTGATCAGGCGCGGGCGCGGGTCGTCTACTCCGGTCGCGCCGCGGTCGCGCCGTTGGACGCCGGTTAGGGGGTTCGGATGGGGGTTTTGTTGGTGATCAGCGGGTCTACAGGTTCTTGAAGGAGCTCTGAAAGACGTTGCAGGGTCAGTGGAAGCAACAGGTTCTTTTGCAGTGAGGTGGTCAGGAGGCGATTTCTTTCATGAGATTCTTAGGGTTGGCAAGATGGATAATGTTAAAAAGAAAAAACAGACTGGCACTTCCAGCGGCTGGTCATCCTGGATGTTGATATTATATTATAAGTTTTGTTGGTTCGATCGGCCAAAGTTGAGTGGGACGGAGTAAATCGATTGGTTCCTTCCACAATTAGCTCTGCTCTTAGACCGGCCAGTTCGAATGTATGTTTGACATGCTTGGATATTCCAGGTCCTGAAGGCTCAGCAGCCGAAACCGGGCGTTTTGCTTTGACAGCCTTCAAGCGTCCGGTTGTCACAGCACATCTGAAACCGGGCGATCTCAGGCCTTTGAGAGCCCACCCAAGAGAGGTTAAGTGACCTGAACTAGGACCCTACTGGGTTACCTATGGGATAGTCTATAGGGTCCTTCAACCTCTGTTGGACTTTTCATCATGCGAACCCCGATAGTTTCGCCTTTTTTTGGTCCTGACTCCTGCGCGGGAAACCACGCTGCGCGTGAAACCGTTTTCCTGCCCAGGAGTGGGCGATCATGGGTCAGATGATTTGCTTGCATGGGTTTGATCCTACCATGTGCATTGAAGGAGTTGCCCTTCAGCTGCACATCTGTCGTATTTGTGACATCCCCGGTGTCCCGTTGCTCCGAAAAGGTGTCCTTGGACTGGAATGGTGGGTATGGAAGTCTGGAAGTATAGACACTCCCTGGGACTGCCATATATTATATGTATGGCTTGGGGGGTCAATGGTGTTTTTTCTTTTTTTTCCAGTCCCATGGGTTGTGTTTGGGTAGTATGACAGTATGGCCATGGCAACTTCATGAAACTTCTCATGCACGGAACTCGTTGGACTGGAACTCGTTGGGACACGGTATCTGACGGTGTCTGAGTGTGATCGGTGGAGTTGGGTGGATTGCCTTTGCAGGGTGGTTTGCTCGACAGCAAGTGGGTAGTGTTCAGCGAGCTCTTGTTCAGCTTCAAGTGCTGATTTTGATTTCTTCACACCATCCGGAAACGGAGAAGGCATGTATATCCAGCCTGTCCTTTAGCCCATCCATCCGTCAAAGAATAGGAGGTCCTCCTTATTGACCTAAACCTGGGCAGTTCTTTCAGAGACAAAGCCAGAAAGCTCACTGCTTGAACAATTGGACGCTCTTTGAAACTGTCAAGCTACAGTCAAGCTACTAGATGTGCCTAAACACGGCCATGCAGTGCCTTTCAGACACGTCGATGTGCCTGTACAGCCCCCCCACTTGTACAGTCTTACGCTCATCCAACGGATGCGTCGTCTCCTCCGAGGTCTACGATGCCTTTCGCTGCCGCGGCGAGCGTCGCTGGGATGGGACGGAGTGTGAGTTCGACTGACCGGAGATTTCGGATTGGAACCAACCTACTAGCTTCTATAGCTACTATATAGTAGCTTCTTGTTCCTAGTAGTAATGCCAGGAGTGCCCAACCTACTCGCTTCTAGCTACCAGTAGCTTCATGTTCCTAGTAGTAATGCCAGGAGCGCCCCTAGTAGCTTCTTGCTACTAGTAGTAATGGCCTCCAACCTACTAGCTTCTAGCTTACTAGTAAGTAGCCTGAGATGGAGTCAGATAGAACATGAATTTGTGTGAGCTGTTGGGTAGGAAGACACTTGTTTCTCTAGAAATATTCAGCGGGCATGGGAATTCATGTGAATATTCTTGAAACGTGTGGTGCTCAAAACCGAGTGGAAAAGGCAGCAAACATACCAGAAGTTCACTTTTGTTCCTGAGATCTTGTAGTAGAGATCCTCGTATCAACCAGCAAAAGATGAAAAGACTGCGCTGCCCACCAACTAAAACGATGCATTTGGTGCTACAAGTTCACCGGTGAAGTCACTCCACCACCAGTGCCCTAATAAATAAGAATCAGCATATTGATGTTTCTTGCCGCACAGTCCTTGCGGAATTCGACTTTCCTCACTGAAACCTCCAAGGCATTTCGAGCCAAGCAACTTCCACTGCTTTGAGCATTATGGCTTTGATGGCCGCCTTGGCGCGTCTCAGATGGAATGGACCTGATGGAAGCGACTGATGGAGCGACACATTGACCCCAAACACGGAACCAGTCCGTACTATAGGACGTCCTAGGTATTCCGTACACCGCTCCGTGTAAACACGGATGGTTTGGGTACGACATCCGGTCTGAAATCATACATGACCCAGACACTCCATGTATGCCATATATGCCTACTTCATGGAGTGTCTGGGTGATGAGACCACTCAGGACACCAAGCGGCCACACGGAACGTCTCACATGGGACATTTCGCCGGAAGACTGCCCGTTGACGCCGGTTCCCGTTCGTTGGTTTGACAGAACACGTTCCCTAAACAGTGTGTCCGCACTGAGGGGTTCTTACTGGTTGGGGTCTCTTGCTGGTTCTAATCTGTTCATTTATGTTTTCGGCCAGACGGAACGTCTCACAGATCGAGATATACCGTTCTCCTCTGAGAGTTCCCAATTTGTTTGATATATAGAATCACAGTTCTTTTCTTGCAATTGTAAAGGAAGGATCACAAGGAGCGGCCAAAACTCCGGCCTCGGACAGCTCTTTTGACCAGGTCCACTGCTGGAGGCCTCATCTATGACTACTTCAACTGGCAAGGCGCCCGCGGTTGGGCTCTGGACTATTTCATGTGGGGAGAACTCGTCCATGAAGACTGGACCAGGACAATGGACGCCCACGGATGGCCACATGGGCAAGACGTGAAGAGCCCAACGGGCCAACGGGACCATCCATGGGATCTTGTAGCTATTCACTATTCTCTAGGCCTCCAGTCGTACCTTCGTTTCAAAGGTGGGACTGGGGTGGGTGCCAGGACGGTCCAGTCATACCTTCTGAGATCTTCTGAGGAGGTACTTGGTGTAGGGATTATGGGAACAACAACATCCATCATTGCTCATTCCAGGTACCAAGAATGGGTTCTTTTGCATAAGCTCAGGAGCTAAGGCTTGTAAGGTGACCCAGAAAACAACACCGGTTCCGGCGTTCGTTTCCAACTGAGACAGACGGATTCCCGGATCCTCCCTGCTCGGGGAGTCAGATCATCACCTTCTCCCTGGCCTAGGTTCAGCCCCCACAACCTTCAAAACCCCGGGTTCAAAAAAGAAGGAAACGAAGGTTGATCTCCAGTCTGTTTTCGTCCAAAAAGGACATGACAGGTGTCAACCGCATATCGAAATCGAAGCCCCAATCCAGGGATGGCTGTCTTCCACACCAGCACCCAATCGCTGATCCTGCTGATCTTGCTCCTCCGTGGAGATTGGGTGGATGCGGAGCGCAGCGCACCGGGGTCCACGCGGCAGACGGACTCCTTTCAACGGCTTTTTGTTTATGGTTTTTTTCACGGTGGATATATGAATGCATTAAGTAAGTAGTGAGAACTCCTGGGATCCTGGTCCTTCTCCAGTCTACCCAGCCAGGTTACCTCCTCCTACTTCGGTCGGACGACCATACCCGACTCTTGGGCGTCCAGTTCGACGATGTGACGAGTCGGTCACCGGAAAGCCCAGGGCGGTTTGATCGGAGACCCTTTCTGGGTGAGTTCCCGGCACTAGGGTGGATCCCCCCAAGAAGGGTATACGAAGTTCTGGTGGTGGATCCGGTTTTTTTTGGGGCCAAAAAGCAGGTGCCTTGAAGCCTGAAAAAGGGCGAACGCTGCTCTACCAGCACCTTCCGACGGGTGCCCACTGGTAGCCTGTTAGACACCAAAACCAGAGGTAGCCTGTTAGATTTTTAAGGATTGAATCCTTGGGAAATTGATGATCTGAATCCTCTCTTCTTCCAAATGCAGCTGAGGGCAAGAAGGTGATGTCCGCTGACCTGGAGCGGGCTCAAAACGGAACGCACTGGACAAGTGCTCAACCAGGATCACTCGAGATATATCGAGATATTTTGTCAGAAAAAACATCATAGCCTGGTGTCTTCAACTTATGAACATGTTTGTTGAGAAACAGGGTTGTGAAAATAACTTGTATCCACTCGGGATCTAGTCTCTTGCAGCCATGGGGAAGAAGCGACCACGAGCTATGACCAATGAAGCTCTGAACCTTTGTCTGAGTTAGAAGAATATTGTTTGATGTTGTTTACTGTTGGGAACATTGGAACCTAGGATACTTTCAAATGCCTTGTTAGCCAGAATGCCACCCGTGGAAGAGATCAAAAAGAGTGGAGAACTATGCCTTGGCGGTGATATCCGAAAATTGGGGAATGCTTGGATTCGTGCTGCATTCCAGGATTCTAGCTTACAAAAGGCACCACGTGAAGGACAGGTCAGAATGGCAATCACACGGCTTGCTAAGAAGGCAAAGCTTCGCTTATGACTTAGTTTTTTTGAAATCCCTTGCCACCAATTCCAAGACAAACTGTCAAATGTTCTGGCCAAAAGCTGTAACTAAGGCTTTGGGAAAGATGATGATCAACTCCAACAATGGATTCTGGAGCAGGCATCTGTTACCGTAGGAAATTGTTCATCACCAACCCTGCCACCAACAATTGATGTTTTGTTGTTTCTTTTGGAGGCAGTGCGATGTCATCAGATCTTGCTTCAACACCAGAAGCAACGCAGATCTGGATACAAATTTGAGACTCCAAATTCGAAGAAGAAAAACACTGAGTCCCAAAAGAAACCTCTCGGCAGTTGTGTTTGTATATGCACAGTGGCAAATGTTGGAACACATGGGCTGGGTTTCGCAAAACATGCCAACCAAGGAAATCTTCGTCCGTTGATGACATGGACACGCTCCCGATCGATGATGAACATCTTCCAAATTTCTCGATGGATGGGCCTGGGTCTTTATGAAGTATTCGTGCAAGCGATTCTGTGATTTCCAGTGTGTTGATGAGTTTTGCTGGGCGGTTTTGAATGGCCCATCCGTTTCAATTTAGTGGTAGAGCATCTTAGGGGATCTAGCTCCAGTGCACCTCAGTCTCAATTGATAACATTTTTGTTTTCCTGTGTGGTTCACATCCCTGCTGGGTTGTGGAAGCTGTGGTTTTATAAATTGATAATTGATTCAACTGTAGAAACCTGATTTCTCTTGATAGAAATTCCCAAGGGCAATGCAGGGTGACATCGTCCAATGTTGGACCACCATGCTGGACTAAACTGTTTATCCGCCGCTTCAGGCTAAGAAAATTGCTGAAGAGAATGAAGCAGAAGAAACCGAGCAGAATGACCAAGCAGAAGATGATGTGGAGACAAGTTCAGACGAGGCTGAAGATGAAGAAGTGGCTGAAATGCAGGGAGGCCACAAGGAAACACAGTCAGACTCTGAAGATGAGGGGAGTTTGGACGATACAAATGAGAAGAATGATGAGCGGGCAGGTCCAAACAAACAAAATGAGGAGGCTGCTTCACAGGATGGTGAGGAACAGCGAGAGGATGAGGAGAGTGCCGAGAAAAAGGACGATGAGACAAGCTCCGAGGATGCTGAGGAAAACCAAGACCATGAGGAAGAAGCAGAAGACATGCAGGATGAGAAGGACATTGTCGACAACCAAATCCGAGGGGAGAATGCACAGACAGAGAATGGCACTGAAACAAAGCATGACCATGAGGATGCTGAAGCCATGCAGGATGAGGAGTCAGGATCAGACAGTGCCGAGGAAAACCAATGCCAAGAGGAGATTGCTGAAGACAAGCAAGATGACGATGAGACAAGCTCAGAGGACTCTGAGACAAAACAGGAGGATGCTGAGGAAGATTGGGACGAGGAGGCAGGTGCAAAGGACACAGAGGGAAACAACCAAAAGGCGAACGCTGAAGAGGAGCAACATGACAGCAATGAGACCAGCTCGGAGCAGGATGAGGGAAACCACGACGAGAAGGCTGCAGAGAACCTGGACGATGACGCAGCTTCAAATGATGCTCAAGAAATACACAACCAAGAGGATGCTTTTGAAGCTAATGAGGAGGATGGTGAGGAAAGTCGCAGGAATGAAACGGCATCAGAGCCTGATGAGGCAAATGAACATGAAGATGAAGATGATGAAGACAAACAAGAAGAAGGAGAAAAAGAAGATGATGGAACAAGAGAGGAAGAACCTACAACTGAGCCAAGGTCAAGAATCAATATGGGGCTGGGGCCTTCAGGAGTGAGGTGGCGACGGTGGGAGGAGCTTGACGAGCTGCCCACTAGAACGCAAGTGGCAGCCATGTGGGAATATCTCGACAATGGTTGTCGCCCTCCACTGGGTAGTGATGAAAGTGAGGATGAGGAAGCTGATGCTGGCGCCAATGAAAGGTCCCTGAATGAAAACAGAAGTGGCGCCAATTCATCAGAAATGTCCCAGGTCCCAATTCCAAAACCAATGCCCCGTGTTCCAAAAGTACCACCGGCAGAAGATTGTGAAGATGAAGTTGACTCACCTGAAGGCTCTGAGTCACAACCGACTTTGTTGGAAGGGGAGGGCGCTTCAGAGAGTGAAGACAACGGAGAACATGATGCGCAGAATTCTCAGGAAGAAGATGAGACAGGAGATGGTATGAATGATGAGAAAGCTGACGAGGATGAAGCAGAACCGACTGAATCAGAGGCAGGTTCGGAAGATGAGGCAAAGAGAACCGCAAATGAACAGAAGGAGGACACGATGGATGAAGACGATGGTGAAAAACAAGAAGATGATGAAGAACCAAGGGACACTGATCCCAAAGAACCTGAAGCAGAGGCAGAAGGTGATGATGAAAAAGAAGAAGATAATGAAGAACCAAGGGATACTGATCCCGAAGAACCTGAATCAGAGGCAGACGATGGTGAAATAGAAGAAGATAATGAAGAACCAAGGGATATTGATCCCAAAGAACCTGAAGCAAAGGCAGAACACAAGGCAAAAGAAGACACACAAAGAAAATCTGAGGCAGCAACGGCTGGCGATTCAACCGCACATGAGAAGGAGACAGAGTCAAACGAAGATGGTGGTGGAAAGGGCGGCTCGCAAGTGCAAGAAGACAACAAAAACAATGATGAGGCCGATGAGGAAAAAGATAAGAGCGGGACAGATGAAGGTGAGGAATCGGAAAGTGAAGGTGATGAATCGGAAAGCACGACAAGTACTACCTCAGAGAGCTCTGATGATGATGAGGATTCGAGCGACAATGAGTCTGAAGACAAGGCTCACAAGGCCAAGGCAAGTGAGGACAAAGAAGAAAGCAAAGAGGATGAAAAAGAAAAAGATGAGGAGGCTTGCGCACACTGCATTCGACCTCTTCGTCCTGAATTCCCCAAGACCAATATTAAAAGATGGACAACAACAAGGTTGACCACTCCTTTTCGGACAATTGCTCGTGCCATTCGCAGACGGCAAACAACACTTCGGGAATTCTTTCGAACTCTGCTGGATGTAGCCTTCACTTTGCACAAACAATCTTTTGGTTCCAAAATCAGCTTTTTTACTTTGCTGTGGGCCTTGTGATTGCAATTTATTTCAATCACATGTTGGTGATTTCCAGGTCAGTGCGGAAAGGGATGACAAAAGCAAAAAGAAAAGGACGTCAGAAGATAAAGACAGTGTCTTCCGACGTCTACGGTCAAAAACAAGCACTTCAGCCCAATATGCTATAGCACAGTTTTCTTATTTTTTCCAGATAGCTATTAGGGGCTCTAACTTCTCAATGGTGTGGCTCTGGATCGGCGTTTTGTTTTTGTGGGCGCAGATGCTGGCGCAGGTGCAGGTGCTGGCTCTGGATCGGCGTTTTGGTTTTGCAGGTGCTGCTGCCGTGCTAGTGCTGGTGTTGGTGCTTGCGTTTTGCGGGCGCTGCTACTGTGCTGATGCTGGTGGAGGTGCTGGCTCTGGATCGGTGTTTTGGTTTTGCAAGTGCTGCTGCCGTGCTGGTGCTGGTGCCTGTGCTGGTCCAGGGATGACATCATGTCTTGTGAGGGATGACATCATGTCATGCCAGGGACTACATCAGGCCATGCAAGGGCTGATATTATGTCATGCCCAAAATGACATCATGTCATGGCCAGGGATGACATCACGTCCTGCCAGGGGTGACAAACCTATACACCCACTATTTGGGGTCTATGCCAGTGCAATTTATGTTTGTGCGGGGGGGTTCTTGGATCAGTGTGTACACCATCGTCCACCCAAACCAGCCCAGGTGTGCAAGCCTCTGCCACAAGTGCAGTGGTGAAGATGGAAGAGTCCAAGGCCTGACAGTTCTTCGGGAGCAATCTCTTCGGTCTATTGAAACCACACCAGTGCTTGGGACACTAGTTTAGAACTATCCATGATCCATAAACTTCT